TGATTGTTAGCGCTATGAGCATACCTAGTGTGGAGTTTGGCGCTATATAAATGGACACATTATTATTATTAGTAGTAGTAGGTAACTCTATATGTTTTCTCATTATTACCATACATGACTGTAGATAAACTGGTCTAATAGATCAGCCAAGGTCCTAACTTGACCCTTAAAATATCAGTATTAAGATGGTAAGTTCTGTACATAAACTGAACCACCAACCTTCGTTCATCTTCTTGTCATGATCAGTCATCGGAAATAGAGTGTCAACAAATTTGTATTGAATTACGCAAGTTAATCCTGTTGTTACATTACCCTGTCATGAAGGCACGCAATGAAGGGCAAGAGGTAGCTATACATAAGCTCACAATACAAGCTACATGTAAGTCTAGTATGAGCAGTGATACATGTTGAGTCACACTTCGGCAAACCCCACAGTTTCACTTATCAGCTGGCTCTAACAAACATGGAACTAGAAAGTATTTTTACTCATAAAAACAGATGTCTCTCCCTTCCCCCAAATCAAAGTTTGAGACCTCAAATAATTCATTTGATTCCTTCAATTTCAAAATCTCTGAGTATGAAAATACATATTATACATGTTTTATAGTAGTACATGTGTATGGTTGATGGTTCTAAGCTTACTAATAATTGGTATTGGTATTACGTATACAAAATTCGGTGAATATGGGTGAAGTGGTTTTAGAGTTATGCTCTGAACACAAACCCTACCCTTCCAAAAGACCAAGTCCAAATTTGTTGCCATTGAAACAGAAAAAAACTAAATTGAAACCCCCAAAATGCACATCTACATAATATAGAGGGGCAATTTTGCTCCGGAAACAAACTTTACCCTTCAAAAAGACAAAGCCTAAATTGTCACCATGGAAACAGAAAAGAATGAAATTGAAAAACAACCCAAACCCCCAAAAGGCACATCTACATGATATAGAGAGGCAGTATACCAAATTTGGTAAAGATGGTCAAACAGTTTCAGAATTTTGCTCCGGAAACGAACTTTACCCTTCAAAAAGACAAAGTCCAAATTGCTGCCATGGAAACAGAAAAAAAAAACAAATTAAAAAACCCCCAAAACCCTCAAACTCCCAAAAGGCACATCTACATGATATGGAGAGGCAGTATACCAAATTTGGTGATGATTGTTCAAGTAGTTTTAGAGTTATGTTCTAAATGCTGACGCTGACGGAAACTCAACCAAAAACAACATGTCTCCCGACCCTTCATGGGGAGACATAATGATGGGAACACTGGTTCTGCCTAGAATCCCAACACTGCACCTTTAACACTGAAGTACAAGTACATCCCAGCCCTCATCCCACACACTACCTCCTGTCTCCCCACTTGCCCCAGTTCTCTCCCTCCCCTGCATATTATCATATGAATCTACTCTAGATGTTGACTCACACAGACTTGGCTATCTAGCAGAGACTCAGAGTGCTGACAGAGGCAACTTTCCTTAGTCGTGCAGATGCTGGAGCAAATAATTCACAAAACAACCAACACCATCTCATTATCATACTTTCAGACTGACATGATGGATTTTCTCAGGTTCTCCGTCTGTTATCACTGTGTGACAACATCCTCCAGCTTATCAATATAATCATTGTGGCATTTATGGACATGTCATCCGAGTCTGTCATCTTGTCATTTATGGACATGTTATTCCCGGGTCTATCATCAACATGTCAGTTATGGACGTTATACCCAAGTCTATCATCAACGTGTCAGTTATGGACATGTTATTCCCTAGTCTATCATCAACGTGTCAGTTATGGACATGTTATTCCCCAGTCTATCATCAACGTGTCAGTTATGGACATGTTATTCCCTAGTCTATCATCAACGTGTCAGTTATGGACATGTTATACCCAAGTCTATCATCAACATGTCAGTTATGGACATGTTATACCCTGGTCTATCATCAACGTGTCAGTTATGGACATGTTATTCCCTAGTCTATCATCAACATGTCAGTCATGGACATGTTATTCCCTAGTCTATCATCTTGTCAGTTATGGACATGTTATTCCCCAGTCTGTCATCTTGTCATTTACGGACAGGTTATTCCCTAGTCTATCATCAACGTGTAAGTTACGGACATGTTATTCCCCAGTCTATCATCAACGTGTCAGTTATGGACATGTTATTCCCTAGTCTGTCATCTTGTCAGTTATGGACATGTTATTCCCTGGTCTATCATCAACATGTCACTTATGGACATGTTATTCCCTGGTCTATCATCAACGTGTAAGTTACAGAAATGTTATTCCCCAGTCTATCATCAACGTGTCAGTTATGGACATGTTATACCCCAGTCTATCATCAACATGTCAGTTATGGACATGTTATTCCCTGGTCTATCATCAACATGTCAGTTATGGACATGTTTTTCCACAGTCTATCATCAACATGTCAGTTATGGACACGTTATTCCCTAGTCTATCATCAACGTGTCAGTTATGGACATGTTATTCCCTAGTCTATCATCGTGTCAGTTATGGACATGTTATTCCCCAGTCTGTCATCTTGTCATTTATGGACATGTTATTCCCTGGTCTATCATCAACATGTCAGTTATGGACACGTTATTCCCTATTATAAACCAAAAGTCACTGTGTTCTTTAATCTGATTGGTTGAAAAACGTGATCAAATGGTATTTGATTCCCGGAAATTCTCTGCGTATTAATACATACAAACATCGCTCACACCATTGTATTCTTACGTCGTCAGCTGTGATGACGTCATTAAAATCATATTGTGACGTAAAGTCCGAATGACGTCACAAATGAGCAGTTTCAGATGCTACCATGGGAGACAGCCGAAACGACCGGTTGATGACATTTCACTGCCGTACTCGTACTCGATGTCAATGAGTGCAGACACAAAAACGTGTGTGGACCTCTTGGTTTACTTTCAGTGTTTACAATGTCGATAAACATCATGTTTGGCCAATTTCGAAGTGTTATTGAGTATTTGAAGCACGGAATATTTCATTTGAAACCTCCGGCTGACGCCGTCGGTTCCAAATGAATTCCCTTGCTTCAAATACTCAATAACACCCGGAAATTGGCCAACACATGATGTTTATCTCCTAAGTCTATCATCAACGTGTCAGTTATGGACATGTTATACCCTGGTCTATCATCAACATGTCAGTTATGGACACGTTATTCCCTAGTCTATCATCAACGTGTCAGTTATGGACATGTTATTCCCTGGTCTATCATCAACTTGTCATATATGGACATGTTATTCCCCAGTGTGTCATCTTGTCATTTATGGACATGTTATTCCCTAGTCTATCATCAACATGTCATTAATGGACATGTAGCTCCCCAGTGTGTCATCAACGTGTCAGTTGTACTCCAGTACAAATCGGTCACATTTCCGCAGTCATGGGTCAAGTGTGCTCTTCCTTTCGTCAACTTTCTTAATGGCCATCTTTCCCTTCAACGTTCCATAGTTTCCTTGAGTACGTACTGGTGAAAATATAATCTTTTAAACAAATCCATTAAATTAATGAAATTTAAATTAATGTAATCGAAATTCCACAGGAGTGTCAAGGTCAAAATAAGATTAATTTTCTCGAGACATAGAAACCAAAAGAGCTTACCCTGACAAAATTGTGAGTGAGAGAGTTGGGTTTTAACCGACAGGTAGCATCAAGATATACAAATGTCACCACTTGCGTTAATTATGTTAAGAGAATATGAGATATTTGGTTTAAAAAGCTGTAAAGATCCTTAAAAGACGAACAGACCCATCCAAATTAATCTTGTCAGGGGGGTTTCCTGTGAAGCATTATGTTGAAAAACTCAATCAAGATATAAATAATTACCATATCATTATCATATTACCATGACAACTGACTAGTACTTTCAATTAAATTTTGTAGGTGTTTAACTTGTGAGAGAATGACATTTGAGGATTTAGAAAACAGAAATTTTACTTCACTGAGAAGTAAGAAATGTTGCTAAAGTTGTAGTCTGTCTCACAGTCCCTGAACCACATTATTTTCCCTACTGCCTAGCGTTCCCTGTAGTGCTAAAGCCCTAAACGAAGCAAGTCTAGATTTCCCCAGGTTCTGAATCTCTGGTCTCACTGGGGCTCCTTTTCAATTTAAATGGGCTTGTTTGTTACTATCAAAATTATATATATTCAGATACTAAGCATTAGTCGACTAAAGTTGCTGAAGCTGGCCACACTGGCCACACCAGGATGTTAGCATGGCAGCCCTGATTGACTGAGCCGATCGTAATCCAACACCCATACTCACGCAGCTATTGACATTTCCTTATTTATCTTCATACTTGTAGTGACCAAATCCATTGAAAGCTAAGGAAAAATGTGCTTTAACTTTCACTGATAAGTAGTGGTGTGACGATTCACCGATACGAATCTATGTATCGATCCATGGGCCGCTGATACAGTGAATCGATACAAAGGTTTACATTGTCGTATATACCCGATACAATACTTCAAATGAGCCACTTTACATCAATGTTTTACTTTGAATATTGCGGAATCTGTCAAGAAACAAAGACTTACTTTTGTTTGATGATAAAAATATATACTCAGAGACCCAGATAAGCTGCGTATCCGGGTAAAATACGCATAGAAAATTTCCAATTACGCATTGAAAAAATAATTGTTGCGTACCAATTACGCATTTAAAATGTTAGATACGCAAAAAGTTTAAAACAAGTGCGTACGGAATATATTTATAAAAATCGCTTGCATAATGAAAAAGACATCGATTGCTATCAAGTTGTACTGTTAGTATAGGACTAGTGTTGTACTGTCAGTATAGGATGAGTGATTTTTTATGAAATCATTTCCATTATATTAAAGTTGGTTTACGACAAGCATTGGTTACTGAAAGTTCATTCAACCCGGACCTTCACGGGTACCATCTTTTAGTATATAACTAATGCAACATATCATAAAATCAAATATGAAATTAATGCCGCTGTCAACTTACCTTCAGGCAAAATATCATCTTCTCCATTATAGCTGATGTAGAACTGACTACGACTCTTTGATTTCTTGGAATTGAATCTCCGGAATTTCAACCTGTCATAATCCCCATCCTCTGGTGTCTTGAGACCCTTCCGGGCTGCACTGGCGTCCTCCAGGAAGTGGACAGAGTATGGGCGTCCAGAGCCCTGCTTACATGATATGAAACCAGGAGGGTGCGACTGAATCATGAAGTCATCACGCCTCAACACACTCTCAGAAGAACCAGTAGGAATCGGCTTGGCCATTTCATACATGCTTGTTGCTGCACTTCTGGCTAAATTTGCTTGTTTTTTAGATTTGTTTACTGCTTCCTGTGCAATTGAGTAAACACCACCAAGGCCTGGGGGTGCCGCTGATACATCGCCGTCACTACCAGCTTTCGACTGTCCTTGACCTTTCACCTTTGAATCATTTTTACCTTTAGCAGTCGTATCATGAACCACAACCTCATATATTGGTTCTTCGCCCAACAGAGTCAAATATGAATGACCTGAACCTCTCTCAGATGAATCCCGCGATGGCACAACATCATAAATTGGCTCGGAAATTATCTTGTCTGATACCTCACCATTAGCTTCTGCCGTATCCCACAGTGAAACTCCTTCAGTTTGGTCACCGACAGCATTAGCTGTCTCCCTTGATTCAGATTTCTCAAGCTCATATACTGGTGCAGTATTCTTGAGGACCTCAAATCCTTCGAATGGGTTCCGAGACAGGGGAATATCATGAACGGCTGGTGTGGAATCATCAGACCTCTGTTTCTTCACCTCTGGAACCTGGTGATCACTGCCAAGGGCTTCAAAAGCCTGAGTAATGTCATGTACGGAGGGCTGCATTTCTGGCATGATACAACTGTCCTTCTTATCGCTCCCAGTTTCCAGCTCAAAGTAAATCGGTGGAGCTTGATCACCAGGAGCCTTCCCTTCAACCTTTGTGCTGTTGGTCAAGAGCGTATTACTCACTTCTGTCACATCTACTATTGTATCGACTGAACTCTCCATACTATTCTCTGAGTCAACGTCAGGAACAGCTTCCTGAAACGTTGAGACACAGTCACTGTATACATCCTCTAGACTTGTCTCCCCAACACTGATGTCATCAGTGCTTGTCTCCCCTATGTCAATGTCGTCAAGGGTGTAAACACCACCGCTTAATGCATCGTCGTACGGGTCTGTTGCCATGTTTGTGTTATTGGGATCAAGAGTTACGTTCAGCGGTTTCTGCAAAGTTTGACCTTCTTCAATGTTCAGTGATCCGACATCGGCCATCTTGGATTTGCAAAACTTTTGTTTTTTTGTTCAAGAACTTTTGAATGGGTAGTATGCCAGAGTCCATGAGCTCTGCACAGTTCTGGTTATCTGAAAACAAACATGGACATTTGATAAAAAAATGCAGTGTACATGATGTAAGAAATTAGTTCTGTGAGGAAACTAATATCTTCTAAGTAACCATGATCATTGACTTTGTGCCTCATGTAGAAATGTTCAAGAAACATGAATACATGAAACTTTAATGGATCCCATATTTTTTAATGTTTATAACATTTCATACTTCTTTCCCTTTCATCATCTGATGTATTAATGTCTAGATGTTCGACTAGGATTGACACTATAGTGAGTGGGAGAGCGGAAGGTCGCGGGTTCGATCCCCGACCGCGTCATACCAAAAGACGTTAAAATATGGTATTTGTTGGTCCCTGCCTGGCGCTCGGCATTAATGGATACAACAAGGACTGGTCGGCTCGGAGTCAGTATAATGTGTCTGAGTGGGGTATTCATGCTTCACTGCGGCATGGTATCTCAGTAGGCTAGCACTATAAAACCAGCTTAAGTCTGGGCTAGTACAAGCAGCCGCACATACACACGCATGCACATCGTCATATGAGCGAAATGTTCTCAAGCACGACGTAAAACCCAATTTCACCTCACCTCACTATAGTGAGTGAGTGAGTTTGGTTTTACGCCGCTTTTAGCAACATTCCAGCAATATCACGGCGTGGGTCACCAGATTGACACAATAGACAGTAATTGTCCACTATAATATGGAACTGGTAACCATGCAATATTTAATATATATCAATATTTCTTAGTATTTATTTGTTTGACTTACTGGGGTAATTAAACATCTAGAGATAATGATATCAGACTTGTTTAATGAAATGGCTGCCATGAAACTGTTACTGAAAATCTACTAAATCTAGCAGGAAGTATAACTAGCAGTGAACATGGTGAGAGTATGAATGAACACTGTGAATGGTTGACGTATCTGTCGACACTGTAAGCACAACAGACCTGACAACTGACCTGACAACTGACCCGAGTGACAGTGATTAAGACAACAGGCATTCCAGTACCCATGACATCCTCTCCATGCATACACAATGTAAGCGGAAAGCTGGAGTAGGATGTGATTAACTCTGTCACAAACTCATACAGCGACAAGTGACAAACACCACTGCTGTTTTCCGGTGAATGTTCTCATTTTAGGAGGTAAAAGCCAGATTATCAAAATATATTGGTTTTTTTTGTCCCACCTTGTGTTCTTTGATCATGTGTTTGATGAATCAGACATGCCAGAAATATTAAATCATTGCTCAAATGTATTGTTTGCCATCTCCATCCACTGCAACCATCTGAACTACAAAAACCTATTTGAGTGAGTGAGTGAGTGAGTGAGTGAGTGAGTGAGTGAGTATGGTTTAAAGCCAATGTTAGCAATATTCCTACAATATCACGGCAGGTGACACCAGAAATGGGCTTTACACATTGTACCCATGTGGGGAATTGAACCTGGGTCTTCAGCATGGTGAGTGAATACTTTAAGCACTACACCACCCTCCCCTTGTTTTGAAGTAAATATGCATACATCAAGTATATACAACTGTAAATATACTCAATGTTCAGCACTTCAAACAGAATTATTAACTATCAAATACTTGGATATTGTTAATTGAAGTTGTTTTCTAAACTTTTCTACTGTAATATGGTTGGAATGTCAATTATTATTCAAGATCCCTAAGAAAGAAGGATCTAGGGCCATGTAACTCTCATTTGCTGAATGAACCTTGCACACAATTAGTATTTTATTGATAGTCAGCTGATTTATCGAGTAGTGGATGAGATTCTGGATATAATCTGATAATGGCTGGGGTAAAACTAAAACTGGGTAAAACACAACCCTCGTAACAGTTCAATCCTGTCGGGGTGGTGGGGTAGCCTTGTGGTTAAAGCATTCGCTCGTTATGTCGAAGACCCGGGTTCGATTCCCCACATGGGTACAATGTGTGAAGCCCATTTCTGGTCTACCCCGCTGTGATATTGCTGGAATATTGCTAAAAGTGGCGTAAAACTATACCCACTCACTCAACTCACTCAATTCAATCCTGTCGGTAGTAATCCTCACCGATTTACATACACACAAATTCATCTTTGATATATGCTCCACAAGAATGTTAGAGAACACCTGATTTTTCTACTTGACAAGTAAATGTATCCTGTCCGAACTTCTGTTCAGGAATATACCTGATATAAACCTGAAAGACAGCACGCAACATTTCTATTAAAACATTCAAACATACTACATGTATAAGAACAGCTTCACTGCAACAAATAATACATCATGCTGTGTTGATTCTTACAAGAAATATTCACAAGACTCAACACCATTCACCTCAGTCCATGACTCTTCAGATGACCTTGTGTCTGGTGAAGGTAAAGGACACTCCTAGTGAAAACAGACTTGTCTAACACCATACAGTGTGATGTAAAGGTCAGGAGCAACAGGTACACCACTGGAACCCAGGTGTTGAACACAGAATAGATATCTACTGAGTCTAGGGGGTAACACACTTCTGTTTTCCTGCCAAAGGGCAAGAGGAAACTAATTATATAGTTGCCAACAAGTATTTTTCACCTGCATTTTGAAATCCCTTTGTTTAATTGTTGGCAATATGCTAACACTTCATAGCTCAACATATTTCAAGTATCTTAAAAACTGAATATAACTTCTTGCCCTTCTGAATTAACATTTTCATCATGAATATTAATAATATTAGAAGGGGCGGTGGGGTAGCCTAGTGGTTAAAGCGTTGGCTCGTCACGCCGAAGACCCGGGTTCGAATCCCCACATGGGTACAATGTGTGAAGCCTATTTCTGGTCTCCCCCGCCATGATGTTGCTGGAATATTGCTAAAAGCGGCGTAAAACCAAACTCAGTCAGTCAGTCAGTAATAATATTAGACACTAATATAAATACAAACCTGACGAGGAGAATACTATCAAACTCTGTACAACACCGTAGGCCCTGTAGAACATCTAAATAAATACCTGAACAATTCCTGATTATGCCCACTGTGTTTATGTCATATTCTGTGTTTTCCATTTCCCCTCAGCCTACAATTTCCAATCTGTCTTGAAGAAGTAAAATGTTTTCTCATCCAACTTTTCCCCACTGCTCCTCTGCCTGAATGAAATTAAAATAACCCACCATGGCACTTGCATACAAAATCAAGATCTGTTGATTTGTCTTCCGTTATTTTACTGAAAAACTCATTCCCTAAGCAGAGCAACTCTATCTATGCTAAAGCTCATTTCTGAGGCTGGTCAAAAGTTCAAAATTTAAAAACTTCTATGAAGTATTTGAAATACATTGTTTGTTTTACTTGTATCACTCTGCTTTTTATCCAACCAAGATATAAAAAATGGAACATATCCAAGCCGGCCAGAATGACAGTCAACACTGATAAATTATCACTGTCAACAACGACAAAACTGATCACACCAGTTAGTTTGTTGTTATTTCCCTGCATCTAATGAATAATACATCAACTGGCGATGCGGAATGGTATTTGTAAAAATATGTGTAGATTCATGATATTGATCACATTCACCTCATAGTTGATTCATTGCAGCCCTATATCATTACAGAACATGTGCAGAGCCTTGTATATCAAGCAGGCTTCTCATAAAGCCAGTCAAAAGTCTCTCCAGACAAGCCACATACATGTATTCAACCATTACTAGGCTGTTAATTTGAATCAATACCATATCAGTTATTGATTTGCACAGCTGTGATACACCGATGCATATAGTATGTTTTCAGTGCACTATGTAGTACAGGTTGTCGTTTCATACAATGTCACAGCCCACGTTTTGCATGCATGACTTCCCTACAAGCCTTTTAAACGTCAAAATATTGATATGTTTCACAGTATATTTTCATCATTTTCAAATGCATCAAACATCTGATCATCCTGTTACATTATGAGAAAGGTTTATTCATTCTTTACTTATTCACATCTGTATTTGTTTTTGAAATATATTTCTTGGTCATTCATCAACATACAAAACACGGAAACATGGCCACGGCCAGTAACAGTCCTCACTGTTGTAGTTAACTGTCTGCTTGTTTAATTCTGTACTCAGCAAATTCAGCTGTGAAGGTCATCTGTAAGTAACCAAGTCTGGACCAGTCGATTATCAACAACATCAGCATCACTGACCATCAATTATTATGTGAAGCATGGGATGTCAAAGGCCTGGAGTTCAACACCATATCGTCACAGGTTAGGTGAGCTAGTGATGTACAGTTTTAGTCGTGGCCTGGCATGTTGACAAAATCCCAAGTATATTTACATGAAATCTCAATTAACCTGAAGTGAACGTATTAACTGGAGATAAACAAACACTGTGTTTGCAATGCAATTCCCATGTACAAACTGAAAAAATTGAGGCAATGTTAAGTTCAAACATATTAAAAGAAATATTATCGTCATGATCATCTTGCAAAACTAAAGAAAAACAAAAACTAATTTAAAAAAAAAACACATCAGAAAACCTTCATCACCTCTTGTTTTCCTCAGGTTTCTTCAAGTCCCACATCAGCCACCATGCTGTGATATAAACTAAATCATGTTCAAGACACAGCCAAGTTTGAAATGGAACGATAAATCCAAAGTCTGTTTCCATTCAAATTTCAACATCACAACGCTCTGAAACATGTTAACTCAACCAAGATTAGTCATGGCTCAAGTAGTATCTATATGTCTGCACCATAACATTTTAAGATTAGAGATACCCTGACATCTGACTGATGCAGGTGATACCAACAGTGAGCAGGGCTCTCACATCAACAGGAGAAAATACACCCCAAGGAGGCGATAAGCCAGCCCATCTCAGATGCTATTTACCAGACCACTATAAATGGGTAACGCTATCTCTTAGCACTACTTCTGGAGCTGGGGTTTCAGTTTCCATGTGGTCCAATTCAAGATAACACAGGATATCTTTTCCATCCCTTTTAGTTCTAGACTGTCATTCCCTGAGCACCCTGGCTATTTTCAGTGGTATTCTACATCATTACAATAAAATATCATTATCATTTGTCTTTCTCGAAAAGTGGAAAAATATCCTGTCATAAATCAAATGCAAGCAAAATAATGCTACTTTCCCAAATACTAATTCCAAATGAAGGATGTAACAACATTCAGTGTGTACAATTTCATAGGATGAAAAGCAAATGCTCATTGTTCACTTCAAGCCCAATTAGTATAAACAGGGTTGGGGTGTTTCTATTCTCTTTGATAGAATATTTCCCTGACTATGGCAAATGTCAGCTAGTTGTCATCATATTGCTACCTTACCATCAAGAAAATATTGACATTTTATCAAGATATGTAACGCAATGCCACCTTAATGTCAAGATAGGTATCATTACACCACCTTACTATTGACAAAATATTGACAATTCACTATCAAGATCTGTAAAATAATGCCCCTTTTCTGTCAAGATGTGATTCATATTGACATATTTGAATTACCAATTGTATTACTATTACACTAAGCTATCAAGACTGACTGATTGATGTTTACGCCGCTTTTAGCAATATTCCAGCAATATCACGGCGGGGGACACCAGAAATGGGCTTCACACATAGTACCCATGTGGGGAATCGAACCCGGGTCTTCGGCGTGACGAGCCAACGCTTTAACCATTAGGCTACCCCACCGCCTCAAGTTATCAAGATGTACTGGTTCACCACTTTACTATTGAGACATATATCTTAACGGCACCCAACTATTGAGGTATGTATCAGAATGGCACCCAACTATTGAGGTATGTATCATAACGGCACCCAACTATTGAGGTATGTATCAGAATGGCACCCAACTATTGAGGTATGTATCATAACGGCACCCAACTATTGAGGTATGTATCATAACGGCACCCAACTATTGAGGTATGTATCATAACGCAGTGTAAGCAAACTTAGGCTCAGTATTATTCGTTACACTGCTATACTGAGTCTAACAAACCCTAGTAGAAGGTCGCATCAGCTAACCTTTTGGACTGACCAATCAGAACACAGTTAACATTCGCACATACGGTTTGAATCTTTACCTCAAAAACTCAAACTATTTTCCACACGATCGCTTCCGAGTTATACACATGGAGGACGCAATGAGTAAACAGTCGCTGAACATAGCATTTTTGTCAAATAGTCAAGGATGCCATCTTGCGGAAATATAAGCTAATAGTAACCATGTCATTAGAAACCCCTATGTGTATATATTGCAGGTCGAATATCTGTGTTTAATGCGGATTTTCGTTTGTTGACAGATCAGTGTCAGCGACCTGGGAGGAGAAAATCTAAAAACCGTTTTGTAAGTCCCCCCAAACCCCAACAAGTAGCTGTTGTCTGATTGGTTAAATCCAGTCGGCCATCTCACGTTTGATTGGACTGTCATATGTCGCTCAAAAACCTTCTACTAGGGTTGTTAGACTCAGTATAGCTGTGTAACGAATAGTACTGAGCCTAAGTTTACTTAGACTGTATCATAACGGCACCTAATTAATGAGATCTGTATCACAACATGTAAGTATTCAGATATGCATCATAACACCACCTTACAATTTAGATATATACATGTATCAGACTGACATCTTACAATCAATGAAGCCCATTTCTGGTGTCCCCTGCCGTGATGTTGCTGGAATATTGCTAAAAGCGGCGTAAAACCAAACTCAGTCAGTCAGTCTTACAATCAAGAAATGTATCATATTGTCACCCTTCTATTGAAATCAGTTGGGATGTGAAATGGGGTTTCAAATTAAACATACATAGCGACTTGCATGCACAAAATGCAGATACGTGCATGGTTGCCTTTACAAGACAAGACTTTTACAGTGCTAGCCCACAAAAATACCAAGTAGCAGTTATGCATTTTAATCCCAGGATTCATTTGTCCAAATTACAAGATCCTAAATCCTCCTTGCCTGGAGCGGGGTGTAGCGTGCAGGGGTGGAAATAACCCATTGCCCGACGCCAGAGTCCAGTGTTTTTTTCTGTCGGGCAAGCAAATTTGTATATCACACTGTACCGGTGTCCAGTTGATATTCCAATGTTAATTATGTTGTTTATTTAAAAAATCAACAAGAAAACGGCTGGTATAGTGGAAAAATTATCAGGGCAAGTGATTTTACATGTGCCACTGTACTGGAGTACACTAGCAATTTTAAAGTTATTTCCACCCCTGGCATGGGAGGATCCAAGAGAAATGTTGGCATGTAAAGTTAGTTTTAAAAATAAATCATAAAATTATAGCTATGTCATGTTTAGGCATTCTCTATGTGTAATTATGGTAACAAGATGTTGACAGACTGATCTAAATAGTTCGCTCACACTAATGTCTAGTCTCTGAAATGAAAATATTATACAGACAAAAAACAGCTGTCAAATTGTCTTAATAAATATATAATTAAAAGGTGTTTATAAAGTCTTCCATTTCAGGCACTCCAGGAATATTCACCTGTCACCTGTTAGAGTTGCATTGGCTGTACTGCAGTACTGGATATCTTTCTCTCAGGGTCTGTATGGCAGACTACTATCTGCAGTATTCACTGCCTCCTGATTCAAGAAAACATTCTAGGATTGCATATCTAGTCTTGACTTTCTCAATAACCTTCCAAATGAAAAGCATTTTTGTCAAAACAAAAATGAATATACTGGACAGGACAATGTTTATCTTAAATGGTGGAACAGATAACTATTTATCTTACCTGATTAACCATGTCAAACCACCTCATGCGGAAGCATACCGACATATGTAGGCAAATAATTAACATAATATCTAGCTGTCAGCGTTTGACTAGGGACTGGTTGTGTCGTGAAATACACTACCAACAGGGATTACCTGTCGTTCAAAACCACGTGGGTGATAAACGAAGTATTACTATTAGGCTAGTGGAATTTAAAAAGTCAAAAGGTAAAACAATTCAGGTGATACGATTGTGAGGTCAAATGGATCTACCCGAATACATTACATACAGTCTACTCGCTATATGATATACGACAACTGAAAATGTATCTGATTGTGTGTCCACCATGAAAGCAGGAACAGACAGCAAACATATTACCTGTATTACCAATGACAAGGCACGTGATCGATGATACGTAAAACACTAAATACCTGTCAGGTGAGAACACACGTCTGAGACAAACTGTCATTTACACACCTCTCATCTGTTAGTAGGGATATTCAGGTAACTATTGAGCTATTACATTCAAGAATAGTTCAACAAATCGGTACTGACATTGTCTTCGTGTGACGGAATGTAAACAAGCTCCTCAGCATCACGGAAGTTTGTTTTCGCCATAACTGATCGACAGCTTCCGGTTCAAGACAGACAGTAGCTGCACGCTGATTGGCTGAAAGTTTTCATTAACGGGCACCTGCTGATACCTTTCTTGCGATTTTTCTCATTTCTGACAAAATAAAGTGAAACATGTACGAAAGAAAGACATGAAATGTAATTTTTGGGTCATAATATATTAAGGAGCATAATGTCACTTAAAGGTAATAAACGTACATAAGGTAAACCTCTTGCATAATTCAGAATTAGGCATTTCATTATATGTACCTGAAGTTATAACATCTTGTGACTGTCTGGGTTGTTGTAAGTTCGGCTCAGTGTATATTATTTGTTTTGACGTCAGCTGTCACGGTATGACAGTCGTATTAACTGTAAATATCCTTAACGAGAAAGCCTGTGCTATGTACTTGTATACTCGACGTCATAAAAAAGGCATAACTCTCCCATTAAAGTGACATGGGGATATACCGTACCTCACTGTTGAACAGGTCCTGGGGACTACGTGTTGGAATATGTCACCAAGCATTGGCGGATCCAGAAAGGGGGGAGGGGGAGGGGAGAAAAAAATAAAAATAGACCCCCCTTGAAAATGACTTAAGATCACATTGAAGATTTTTTTTTGCGTTGGCAGAGCCAATGGTGGGTTCAGGGGGTTCGAACCCTCCTTTCAAAATTCCTGGATCAGCCCATGTCAGACATATGCTGATCGTAAGTGTGTTGTTTAACGCATCACTCAGCAGATATATGGCGGCTGGTCGTAGGAGTGAACGAGTGAGTTGGGTTTTACGCCGCTTTAAGAAATAGTCCAGCAATATCAAGGCGGGGGACACCAGAAATGGGCTTCATACATAATACCCATGTGGTCGTAGGAGGAGTGAGTGAGTGAGTAAGATGGGTTTTACGCCACTTAAAGAAATAGTTCAGCAATACCAAGCGGGGTTCACCAGAAATGGGCTTCATACATTATACCCATGTGGTCGTAGGAGGAGTGAGTGAGTGAGTAAGTTGGGTTTTACGCCGCCTAAAGAAATAGTTCAGCAATATCAAGGCGGAGAACACCAGAAATGGGCTTCATACATTATACCCATGTGGGGAATCGAGCCCGGGTCTTCGGCGTGACGAGTGAACGCTTTAACCACTGAATTGACATCGACAGCCATGATGTCAATCACTAGATTGTCAGACCCAGACTCTTTTATTTACAGACTGCCGTTATATAGCTGGAATATTGCTGAACGTAGCATTAAACAAACAAAATCGGGAACGGTGCATCCTGGAATAACAACTTTAACATCATTCTGTTTAAAATATGAACATTTACTACTAAAGTTTTGTAATGACTGCTAAATTATGATGATTGAGTCACACGGAGTAGGAGAGATTTGGAAATGCTGTAATGAGTGCTATTTCACTGAAATCTAAGGTTCCTCACGTTTGGAAACGCACCATACTAAGATTATCATAACATGTTCGCACATTCTTCTAGAAAACAAAAAGCAAGACATCTCAGCTTTCAAAAAATATTTCAACTGATGACCACATGGATCTATAGACAAATATAATTATAATACAATGAATGATGGCATACTATGCAGGCTCTTCATAATTATATTGGCAATATATATTTCCTTTACGAAATAAGCAAATCCCTGGAGCGCCTCGATCAACCTTGATTTACTTCAGCCTGAAAATAATTGCTAAAACGCGGCTTGAACACCTCTCATATTTCATACCGTGGAGACCGCCTCCGTGGTGTAGTGGTTAGAGCGTCCGCCCGGAGAGCGGAAGGTCGCGGGTTCGATCCCCGACCGCGTCATACCAAAAGACGTTAAAATATGGTACTTGTTGGTCCCTGCCTGGCGCTCGGCATTAATGGGTACAACAAGGACTGGTCGGCTCGGAGTCAGTATAATGTGTCTGAGTGGGTTATTCATGCTTCACTGCAGCATGGTGTCTCAGTGGGCTAGCACTATAAAACCAGCTTAAGTCTGGGCTAGTACATGCAGCCCCACATACACATACACACGCATGCACGTCGTCATATGAGCGAAATATTCTCCAGCGCGACGTTAAACCCAATTTCACCTCACTCACCTCATACCGTGGAGTAACCAACATTCACTCACTTGAAGGTAGAACATTTGAAATGTGAATGGCATCATCAAGGAACAGTGAGTGAGGCTCTAGAGATTTTACGTCTGTTTCTATCAGAAACATTTACTTACACTGTACCCTTTACTGTTAAACAATGTATCAACAAACTATGTGCTCTCTGTGCCCATAAAGTAAGTAATTTCTCAGGTAATTCGCTTCAGTGTGTTTACGTTCATGTTGTAAGCGACTGAGATGAGTGGGTTCGAATCCCGGATGGGACTCAACCAACCAAAAGTAGTAGAATCGGTACTTTACTGAGAAAGTGTAATCCCAAATATAACATACGTTTTATGTGAATGGAATTATTTTCAAGGAAGCGCCTTGCCCCGCCTGCCAGTCTGTGGCGTTATCTGACGTCTCTTTATCAACTGTCTACAATGCACGAAGTTGACGAAATTTTAATTAAACAGTATGTTTAAGTAACCGAACAATGATCTGTGGAAATTCCCCCTTCCGTTGTAAAAAAGTAACAGTCCAATGAATTATAAAAACACCAAACAATTTAATGCTCATGTTGATCATGAAGTAGAAGAAACAGTCTGTGAGGTGAGGTGAAATTGGGTTTAACGTCGTGCTTGAGAATATTTCGCTCATATGACGACGTGCATGCGTATGTGCGTCTGCTTGTACTAGCCCAGACTGAAGCTGGTTTTATAGTGCTAGCCCACGGAGATACCATGCCGCAGTGAAGCATGAATACCCCACTCAGACACATTATACTGACTCCGAGCCGACCAGTCCTTATTGTACCCATTAATGCCGAGCGCCAGGAAGGGACCAACAAGTGCCATATTTTAACGTCTTCTGGTATGACGCGGTCGGGGATCTAACCCGCGACCTTCCGCTCTCCGGGCGGATGCTCTAACCACTACACCACGGAGGCGGTTGTTACGGTAAGGAGTAACGGTCACCTTACCGCTTTGGACAACTGTACCCAGGTGAGGAACGAGACCCAGGCCTTCAGCATGGCGAGCGAACGCTTGACGCATTGGACTACCCATCTACCCTATAAATATCAATCTACAACAAGATCTGTCGCTAGAAACAAAGAGAAAGATAGGTGCAAATGTTTACAGTATCCCCGAGTCAAATGTAGGACAAGGTAGATTAAAAACGTGGCCTAGATACATAGATCTATATACGCGGACACGTGGTTTCATTTAAGGATCTTCTTAACGCGTGGGGGACTTGTCGACCTTGGAGTCCACATCAACCTCATCGAGCCTTATCACGCAAAGTTAGTGAAAACTTGGCCAAGGCTAACCTTTCGTGCGGTGTCACATGAAAAAAGCAGCCCCGCTATCAAATGACCACACGCACTGCGCTCGCAAGTAATGTGGGAGATAGTGTGTAGGGTTTGTGCATTCCTACGTTTTCAATCACATTGATCATGCTAGCATTACAAAAATACTTTATCACTTGGTGATATTTTGTTTAAATGGTATTTTGTTATATATATATATCAACAAAATATAAAACTATTCAAGATATCGCCAAGGACAATGCTTACTGTCAGCGTTTCTAACTTAGATGGTTTTTCAATTCTCTTTGGTGGAGGAGACATACTATTGGTGAGGTGAGGTAGTATGGGGTTTAACGTCGTACTTGAGAATATTTCGCTCATATGACGACGTGCATGTGTGTGTATGTGTGGCTGCTTGTACTAGCCCAGACTTAAGCTGGTTATAGAGTGCTAGCTAGCTCACTGAGATACCATGCCGAAGTTAAGCATGAATATCCCACACAGACACATTATACTGACTCCGAGCCGACCAGTCCTTGTTTTACCCATCAATGCCGAGTGACAGCGGGGGACCAACAAATACCATATGTTAATGTCTTTTTGTATGACGCAGCCGGTGATCGAACCCGGGACCTTTCACTCTCCGGGCGGACGCTCTAACCACTACACCACGGAGGCGGTCACATACTATTGGTGGCGCGTTGTCAACAAAATATAACACTTCATTATTCTTTATGAGAAAGACACATTGTCTCCCGAAATATGATAGTTACATACAAAAAAGACCCTGTCCTAAATGCCCTTGTCTGTTGTCATACAGACCCTGAAGCAAATACATATTAAGAAAGACATCGCTACCTATACGTAAATCATGGAACGTATTGGACATATCGTGCTAGGTTATGGCCTATGACAAAAATGCTTCACGCATATATTTTCACATTAAGCATCGTGTGAAAGCCGAGATGTAACTTGTCAGTGACTTGACTTACATTGCATGATCGCTCAAAAGAATGGAAATAGTAATTTTATATGTACGTTTGACAACTTTTATGAATGTTATTGTTGATTTCAATTTATTTAATGATTTCCTCGATGTTTGAAACATCGTTACTTTGCTCTTTGACAATGCTATTGTAGACCCGCTGCCGAAGCATAAACAAGAATCGTTGTTTGCAATAACATTGCGAAAAATAGTTTATAATTTTAATTCTGCCGATAATATATGATCAGTTGAAATTTAATAAGAGATTTCAGACATTTTTATTTGATTTAAACAACATGAATGTGCATTCAGACACTGCCTTGTTTCTTATTCAAACATCTTGTTAATGCTAAAGTGACAGTACGACAGCGAACTTCCGTGTGCGCAGGCGTCATAAGCGAACCTAGCTAAACCGGCACTCTGTCAAAACCGGCATTTTTACTTGGTCCCGACTGATGCCGGTATTGACAGAGTACACTGTATATCCAAGAAAGCCCACGAAAGTCTAGATAATGTCGCAAGTCTAGATTTCCACACCTTCTGAAAATGAAGAAAGTTTCAGGGCTCCTTTTGACACATGTTATCGTATCCCATGTCAGTACATCCATGCTCATGAGGTCAATCACAGGTCTGTCTGGTCGGACCGCCATCATAGCGCTGGAATATTGCCGAGTGTGGCATAAAACAACAAACAGACAATAATATACATATCACAAGAAAACACCCCCCCTTCCCAAAATAATGGCAGAAATTAGGAACTAAGATTTCCAGGAAGTCGTCGTACATTGGCGGATCCAAGAGGGGGTGGGATGTTCAGGGGGTTTCTCTTCCCCCACCCACCACCACTTTTGAAATTTCCTGGATGTAGTATCGAACACCTCAAACAACAAATGGAGTGAGTGAGTGAGTGAGTTGTTTTACGCCGCACTCAGCAATATTCCAGCTATATGGCGGCGGTCTGTAAATAATCGAGTCTGGACCAGACAATCCAGTGATCAACAGCATGAGCATCGATCTGCGCAATTGACATGTGTCAACCAAGTCAGCGAGCCTGACCACCCGATCCCGTTAGTCGCCTTTTACGACAAGCATAGTCGCCTTGTATGACAAGCATGGGTTGCTGAAGACCTATTCTACCCCGGATCTTCTCGGGTCTACAACAAATCGAAGTCGTGAATAACATGAATATAAATATGAATGATTTAAATATGAATGCCATTGGGCTTAACTAGCGGGGTGTTGATGAGCCACCACTTGCTCTTTATTATGTTACTATCTCCAAAAAACTTGCCGTCCCTTATCCTCTCGCACATTTAAACATACACTTATAATTAGCACAGGTTCCATTTGGAATTGTGAAGGGAATTTCACAGGAAGCACTTTCTGTCTTCACCGTGCTGAAACAATCGTCGAGATGGCACGCCGCATACTATCGACCAGTTTAAGACTGATTGAAGCGCAAAGCTTACTTAGAATCACCGCGGACAGTCAAGCGTTTGTGAGATCAGCTGCAGCAATGGCGACACTAGCTCCACCCCGGAATCCTTACTTCGACCCATGAATTTCCCCTTCAAGACCTTGATGGGGCCGGGCCCTTCCAACTGCCCCCCTCGAGTACTTGCGGCAAATGCTTTGCCAATGCTTGGCCACCTGCATCCGGAATTCACGGAGGTAATTCACTCGTCACGTGTTGTCAACCTCCCCCATATGTTTACAATCGTGCATTGTTTTGCGATTGTATTGCGATGTTTTGTGAATGGGATTGACGGAAAAATGTGTACTTCACGTGCCGAGCGCGTGAAGCGTAGCTGTTATCACACACAAGCATGTAGGAACCGATTCTGTGACGTACTGAATATTATTAGAAACACTTGCCTTGTCATTAATTTTGACATTGTCTTGAAATTTTGTAATAAGACAAAAACCTCAACTTTCGTTACAGTGTACGGGCCAGGGTAGTATTTGATGACCTAGTAGGTGAGCGTTATCTGCTTTATATCTCAGCAGCAAAGGGACGAAACACTAATCCAAATAATCTGATTAAAAATATGCAACCAGAAAGATAAATTACATAAACAGATAAAGACTAGCAATGCAACCAAAATATTCAAGACAGAAATGTCATACTGGACATTTGTTAGACAGGAGAATATACAATTTACATTGCAGAAAGTAGGGCAGAAGGGGTCGTCGGCACAGGTACTACGTCACTGTACCCCAGGTACGTTTCTGTATACAGAAAAGTACCCTAGCAAAAATCGGAATACAGAAACGTACCCTTGGACAATTAAAATTCTGCAGTATGTTGTTTTCTTGATTGGAACTGTCATACAGTTGAATTAGATGCATTTAATTGCGTTCTGTAAGAAACGACCATACATGGTAACGAATATCTCACGGAGCACAATACCATTTGCAATCAGTTGAACGGGAACAAGTATATACAGTTTCGGTTTTGGGTTGCGAAATATGGACTTGTCGTCCGTGTAAGGTGCCGGGTACGTTTCTGTATTTTGACATTGTTTAGGGTACATTACTGTATACAGAAACGTACCTGGGGTACATATTTGTAGGACCTGTGCCAACAACGACCCTTACAGCGGAAGTAGGTCAGTTAACAGATCATTTCAGATAATCTGTAGCCCAAACACAAGACTGACATCGTAGGTTTTTTCAAGCAGGAGTATTATATTTTAGCATGTGTAATAATGTACGTTTTTTGTAACTACATGTTATAGTCATGAACACAACTGAGTTGCAAAATCTAATATAATTCAATAGGTTAAGTTATGTTTTCAGGTAGAGGGATCTTGTAGTTTTGAAAAAGGGGGAAAATGACCCAGTGTTATCAAATAATGTTGTTGGAGCCAACCATGAAGGAGTGGGACCTAGGAACAGGTGCCCCTCTTTCTGTCAAGTGTGCTTTTATTCATCTGTCACATTTCCTTTCTGGATCATAACTCTGAAACTGTTTAATATTATTATAAAACTTTGCATATGTATCAAGCACATGCTGGACTGGTGTATTGAAATCTTTGGTAAATTCAGGAAAAATGAGAATAAAACAACCATAGCCTAACAATAGCATCAAGTGAAACATGAGCCTGTAACAGTAGAAGACAGCCACAAGCAGTGTTACATTAAGCAACATGTTGATAATGTGACACCCTTCGATGCACATATTATCATACTGTGTATTAGCTCTGATGCACACATGTTGTTATACAATATAATGGCTGACAGAGAATCATTGCCTATCTTCTGTTATACAGTGTTCTGTCATCTGTGAAATAATAACAGTATCATCACATCACAATATTGTACATAATAGCCCACCCATCATTTTAGACCAGTTTATTTTTCTCAAGGCTATTTTCCAAATCCGGAAGGGACATGTCGTAGTTTTGTGTTTATTACTTAAGCTGTTAGAATGTTATAATATGGAGAGTGAAAAAAACCCTTTTTTTAAACAATGGTATAATGTATGTATGTATATAAGGTTTTAGGGCGACCTTGGGCCTTAAAAGGCCTATATGCGCCCAACACTTAACAAACTGTTATATTTTTGTTCAGTTAAATAACATCGTACTTACCCGTTTTAACGAGGAAGTCTAAAAGAGCTCTTTGTATGCAACCATACATTAAATTATCGCCAAGTATTGCGTTCATTGAAAACGTATTTTGGGCTTTGTTAAGCACAGTTTCTTTAAGAGCCTTACGTGGGTTTTCATGAGCTGGACATTCAATGAGGTAGTGCTGAACTGTTTCTGGGCACTGTAAGTTACAGCTTTCACACAGAGGAGATAAGTCTTTATCTAAAATACTTCTATATGCCTTTAATCCACAATGTCCCAGCCTGAGACGAGTTAAAACAACTTCATCTCTGCGACAACGCCGACGAATTTTAAAATGTTTGTTTACTACAGGACAAGTAGAGTGCATGTGTCTACCTGTAGTTTCATTATCCCATTTATTTTGCCAAGATGCATTTATTGAAGATGAAATGGTATAATGTAGAGAATACAGAGTTGCACCCCTTAGTGTCCTAGCTCCCTATTAGTGTGTGTTTGATTCCCAGGGATCCCTGGTTATGTTTCTACTAGGTTTGTCAGCACCACCCATGCCCATTGGTTTCATCAGAGAGGTAAAACATTGTACAACTACACTGCTCTGGCCTTTTGTCTCCCATTAAGCTGACAAACCCTGATATACTGTAATGCTGTTCAAAGTGGCGTTACACCCGGCATTCGAAATAATCGAGGCCCAGCGCTGGTTGTTATTGTAATTTGTATCGGGCCGGCAGTTTCAAATATTTGCAGGCCCTTGTGGCCTTCAGTAAATTATCTGTAATTTGTTATCTCAACTGAAATCTTTCCCATAATTTCTTTCTGTATTAATGTTCGGGAATCATCCATGATCATGTTACGATAACTTACAGTTTCACTTTCTGGTATTTCAGCGCTTTGCGCAAAGGAATGACAACACCAGTCTTTTACAAATCAAAACTTGTAATGTTACTGCGTAACGACGCTTAAAGTAAGGCAAATGGTAATGATTTTACGACGCTTCAATAATGTTTTCATTTGTGCTCTTCTGTGGAGGAGGGTTAAAAATTGCACCGGAAACATGTGATTTGTTTGTGTTCGCAACTGGGATCAAACCACAGTCCTTCTATCAGTCACAACTGTAGAGTTTGTCACAATACAAGCTTCCCCGACGTTGTGATTTTTCTGCAGAAGGTTTATGCTGATTGTGAGTTCTTTCACCCATTGAACGAGGCATTACAAACTTCTCTCTGCACCATAGGCTTTGCTAATTGATTTCGTAGAAACAGTGTGGAACTGTGTACAGTGTAGTCTATTTTGTTTTTATTGGTTGACTTTAACAAAATGGGCCTGCAGATTTCTTACATGGCCAGTAGATTTTAAAGCCTGCAGGCGGCAGCAGGCCCAGATGGCCAATTGGCAAATTAAAGTATTGCAAACACTGGTTACACCTTGATCACTATCGATACTCCTGCTATATGACAGCCGATTCAAGAACATTGTCACAACTGACCAGTTAGCATAGGCAGATCCAGAAAGGGGGTTGCACTCACCCCCTCTTTTGTCCTGAAAGTGTATTAGATGACCATTGAAACTCTTGTGAAAACAGGTAAAATGAAGTGTGCGCACATGCACACACACAAACTCACGCATGCGCGCGCACGCACGCACACACGCACACACACACACACACACTTTCTCAAAAAAGCTGTATCTGCCCTTGGTTAGCTGAGTATATGATTTTGGCTATCTCAGTAGTTGTCAACTACAGGGTTAATTCTACCGATTCTGCTTCCACAGATCATGGATGAAGTGAAGGCAGGAATCCAGTATGCCTTCCAAACGAAAAACAGCTGGACATTTGCAATTTCAGGGACAGGTATGGGGAGACAACTCTTGACAATCTCTGTGACAACATGGATGTTTTAAAGACTACTCTTGCCATTGATAAAGTGAATGCTAAATCACGGACAATTATAACAGTGTTCGAGCCTCCTTGTATGCTGGTGCCAATGGACTGGATAGATCATAATGTGATGTTCGAGAAGTTCCTGTTCACGTTTGACAGCAACTGTTTTTTTCTATACAAAATGGATGAAGTATATTGCAGTGACAGGCTAATTCACAGAAAGAATATTGTTTGTATTCAAAATTACAAAGGATGTAATCAATCTTAATGACAAGGAGGAGGAAAAATTAATACTGCTTATTTTAGAGAAGTAAAAGAGAAAAAGATGTGCATCAGTTATTCAATAGTGTAAAACAGTAGATACATCAGTAATTCAGCAGTATACAATGGTAGATACATCAGTTATTCAATAGTGTAAAACAGTAGATACATCAGTAATTCAGCAGTATACAATGGTAGATACATAAGTTATTCAGCTGGATAAAACAGTAGATACATCAGATATACCATAGTATAAGGTTGTTACATCAGCAGTGTAAAGTAGTTGATAAATCATTTATAATAGCTATTGAAAGTAGAGGATATGTCCTTATATACACCGTGTGACACTGCATGTCTGTCTGTCCTTGCACCATGAAGGATAACACCTGATCTGTGTTGTCAGGCCATGCTGCAATGGAGGCCATGGTCGTCAACTTGCTGGAACAAGGTGAAACTGCGCTTGTCTGTGAGAATGGAATATGGGGGCTGAGGTTTGCTGAAATGGTTGACAGAAACGGTAAGGAGACACATTATTAAGGTTTAATATTTCAGTCAAATCACTGCCCATTCATACCTACATCTTAACCAGGCAGGGTAACAAAAAGTATCATCTTTTAAGACCTTTTGGATTTAACTATCGAAGGTACACTATCCAGTACAGCAAGGTCACATGATGCTGTTATTCTCAGCACTGTTGGTTAAACTTACCTTATTGCTACACTATGTGCTGTGAAAGTGAGTGAGTGAGTGAGTGAGTTTAGTTTTACGCTGCTTTTAGCAATATTCCAGCAATATTATGGCGGGGAGACACCAGAAATGGGCTTCGCTCATTGTACCCATGTGGGGATTCGAACCCGGGTCTTCAGCGTGATGAGCCAATTCTTTAACCACTAGGCTGCCCCACCGCCCTGTGTGCCGTGAAAGCTGATTAGTTAGCTTCTTGAACATGCAGAATACTTGACAAGTTTCTCACCTTGGAAGACCTTATTTTCACCTGACTGAATGATGTGACTGTTTTGTCTAGGGTCAGTGGCAAAGAAACTCCTTCGGCCAATGGGAGAGGTGTTTACATTGAGCGAAATAGAGGAGGTAAGAGTGTGATACTTTTCTACTGTACAATATATGTTGCAAATTTCACACTAAAATGATCAATTTGTAATGTGAGTGACTGTTTATACCTATACAGTAAAATTTGCAAGCCTAGAAACTGACAATATCTGCATTTGGGGAACTCAGTATTATTCCATATTTTGTTAATCTTAATTGCTCACTTATACATATTTCATCATCAAGTAAAATACATCCAGATAACTACATAAGTGTCTGTCTAATGAAATATATCTTACAGGTCTCGGTAATATACATATTCATGGTGTCTTATGATAAATTGAACACTTTTGACACTTTTGACTTATATTTCACGCTATTTCAGGGTCTAAAGGCCAATAAACCAACTATTTTGTTTATAACTCATGGGGAGTCGTCCGGATCCACAGCTCAACCATTGGAGGGACTTGGGGATCTCTGTCACAAGTAAGCTGTACTCCGCAAATCAGGAAATACTGTGTTGTTTAACATTCCACTCAGCAATATAACAGAATAAGACAAGTGCCTGGAAATAATAGTGTCAGGACCAAACTATCCAGTGATTGAAGTAATGAACAACGATCCACCCTGTAGGGTGGCAAGTCATTGAATCTGAGTTGTCACCAGCTCTGATAATGCTGGAATATTGCTAAAAGCGGCGTAAAACTAAACTCACTCACCCATTCAGAGATTTACCTTGAGTCCTGTTTTTGAGGGTCCCTGGGAGTCATACTCTTAATTTTCAGGGGTCCTGGACAACAAAATAGGGGTCCCAGACACTTAATTATCCCCCACCGCGCGTTTAGCGCTAAGCGGGGAATATAGTATTATATGCTCCGTGCGTCCGTCCGTCCGTACGTGCGTACGTACAAATTGGAATTGGAATATCTTAAGAACCGTTGACTAGATTCTTTTCATATTTGATACCTAGGTTCATCACAGTATAAGAAAGATCCCAGTCAGGTTTGGTGACCTTGACCTTTATTTCAAGGTCACAAGGGGACTAACGTTTTACCCTTGTCAGCGAGACATCCCAAGAACCATTCACTGGATTTTCTTCATATTCAACACCAAGCTTTATCTAGGGAAGGCGCAGGGCCCAGTCGATTTTGGTGAACTTAACTAAATTTTCAAGGTCATGGTGACACTTCGAAGATTTCAGCATGTTACCCTGCATGTAAAGATTGTCAGCGAGATATCTCAAGAACCGTTCACTGGACTTTCTTCATATTTGACACCAAACTTCATCTAGGGAAGACGCAAGGTCCAGTCGATTTTGGTGACCTTCACATAATTTTCAAGGTCACTGCGACATGTTGAAGATTTCACCATGTTAAACTGCATCTTAAGATTGTCAGTGAGATATCTCAAGAACAGTTCACTGGATTTTCTTCATAGACTTTCAAGACTTCCCTTGAATGTTTTACAATAAGCAATTTCTTTATTACTATTTTCGCATATTTCGTACACTATGACATTCATGTCAAGGTCAAATTGAGTCTTGAAAACTATTTGTGCGTTTGAACAACTACAGAGCAAGATATCAAGACAGGTTGACTGATCATGTTTTTGTTGACATTTAACTTCATCTTAAATTACGACCTTCACTTTCATTCCTTTTTAAGTTTCATTTGATAATTTGCGGCGGGGGATTATGTCACCTAAGTGACAATGCTTATTATTATTATTATTACCACTGTTATTGTATTGTGTATCATGATCATCACGTTAATTGTTACAGTAATTGAATTGCAAATAATACTATAATTCAGCTAGTAGCAAACTCTTTGATAACTTATTATCCCCCGCAACGCATTTTGCGGGGGGTATTAAAATGGACTCCGTCCGTCCGTCCATGCACATTTGTCTTTTCCGGAGCAGAACTCTAAAACCGTTCAATATTTCTTTACCAAACTTGGCACATACATGGATCTGGTGGTGTACTGGTGCCTTTTGGTAGTTTTGGAATTCTGAATAAAATATTTTTGGCGTTTCCATGGCAACAAGTTCGACTTAGACTGAAATTAGTGGTAGTGCTCTTTTCCGGAGCAGAACTCTAAAACCGTACAATATTTCTTCACCAAACTTGGCACATAGATAGATCTTGTGGTGTACTGGTGCCTTTTGGTAGTTATGGAATTCTGAATAAAATATTTTTTGCATTTCCATGGCAACAAGTTCGAGTTAAATTAAAATTAGTGGTAGTGCTCTTTTCCGGAGCAGAACTCTAAAACCGTTCACTATTTCTTCACCAAACTTGGCACATAGATAGATCTGGTGGTGTACTGGTGCCTTTTGGTAGTTTTGGAATTCTGAATAAAATATTTTTTGCATTTCCATCGCAACAAGTTTGACTTAGCCTGAAATTGGTGATAGTGCTGCTTTCTGGAGCAGAACTTTAAAAACCTTTCAATACTCTCCTTCCGTTTTTCTATATACACACCTAAACATTTGACATTATCATAACTCGTAGTTGGCATTTCCATGGCAACAAGTTTGACTTAGACTGAAATTGGTGATAGTGCTCCTTTCTGGAGGAGAACTTTAAAAAACCTTTCAATACTCTCCTTCCAATTTTCTATATACACACCTAAATATTTGACATAATCATAACTCGTAGACATAATCATGAAGAGTATTTTGCCATTGCGGGGGATATTGATGACTTTGTCTTCTTGTTGTTACTTCATTGGAATTTTTACAAAAATATTTGGATTTTTTCTGCATCCCTGTGGATGTGCTAATAAATTTCGTTGCGTCCATTGTCAATTTTTATGTGTATAGGACGCAAATTCCTGCGTCTTGTAAATCCCTGCCCATTGAGTCTGACCACTTGACCCATTTTGTTGCCTTTATGACCAGCGTACGCTGCTGTGACCTTTTCTAACCCAGTGGGATCCTAGGTCAGGTTTCATCAATGTAATACACATATAGGTGGGGGGGGCGATGGGGTAGCCTAGTGGTTAAAGTGTGCGCTGATATCACGATGACCCTGGTTTAATTCCTCGCGTGGGAACAATGTGTGAAACCCTTTTCTGGTGTCCCTTGGCATGGTATTTCTGAAATATTGATAAATGCAGCCTGCCCCCATATCTCCCTAGCCGCTCTTGGTTTTCCTACCATGTTCAACTGACTGCCAGTTGTTTAAGTGAAATATCGTTGAGAGACAACTAATACCATTTTATTGCAAGCATCATTTTGCATTGACACAGTAATTATCCACTGCTTTAACTTAACACAAGGGGGTTGAGTCTGTGTGACATTCATGTCGGTGATGTTGCAGGTACAACTGTCTGTTGGTGGTGGACTCGGTCGCTGCCATGGGAGGGGTTCCTATCTTCATGGACCAGATGGGTAAGTGTTATCCATGACGAATGAGTGAGTGAGTGAATGTTGGATGGTACAGAAGCCAGCAATGTAACAGCTGGAAGAGTGAGTGAGTGAATGTTGGGTTTGGGCCTGTGTAGCTCCCTTACTTAACTACTATGGTGAACATCTGTGCATGCTGACATGGCCATATGAATGTGTCATGTTTACAAGCATGGTAACATATCGGAATGTTATTTCATGTACAGTAAGTATGTAGTATGTGGTACAACATATTATGCCTCGCATTTTGCTTTTAGTCCTGCCAGTACCTGTTATTTTAAAATATTTTTAAAAAATTGAAATGGTTGTACAGTGGAAGCTGTCTAAACTGGCACTCATCGGGATTGAAGAAATAATCCGGTTTAGACAGCGTGCCGGATTGTAGAACTGAGATGGTTATCTCAGACTAGAAGTGAACCAGTTTTGTCACTCTCATGTACATTGTTGTATCACAATAAAACATGTGAACTCACTAGTTTCATGTACAAATATACCCATGCTTGGACTAAGTTTAAAGTATCTTTGTTGGCAGCCATGTAATTTCAACGCAGGATTAGTTGGCGACAATACACATGTGGCCGACTCCTCGCCACGGATGGCAGATAGTGCTAACCACTGTATAACACATATTCGGGCAGCTCATTTCATGCCGAGATCCGAATTGACGGCTGTCGGATTGCAGAACTTTTAAATGATGATAAATGTACTAGCCACGGACGGGACTGAGATTTTATGCCGGTGTTGACAACTTGCCAGATTGGACAGCTGCCGGTTTTGACAGCTGCCACTGTATCTCTCTGTTACTTATTTTCATTTGCCATTTTATTCTGACCTCACTGTCATGGTTCAGCCTTTGCATAATATATAGGTGAGCTACAGATATTTTGTGGTTTCATGGTTTTATCTTGAAAGTTTGGGGGTTGCTTTTCTAAATATTTACATTGTTTGTTCAGTCAAGATCTAAATGTGACCATATTGTTTCCAGGAATTGATGCCTTGTATTCCGGCTCCCAGAAAGTGCTCAGCCCCACCTGGGCAGCGGCCTGTGTCATTCTCTGACAGAGCCAGGTTAGTGTAGAGTTGCCAGGACACTGGTACCTGAGCTGGTGTGTTATACACTACTCAAAGGAACTATTCAAAAGAGGTTTGAGAGTCCTATGAATTTCTGAATATTACTGCAGTTAATTTTTAAAAAATCTGAAAAATTAGAGTGTTCTTCAACTTTCTTATTAAGTACTGTTTCAAGTACATAAATTCTCACTCACTCACTCACTCACATGTAGCTGAATTGGGTATCTCAGTGAGTTAGCACTATAATACAGCTCAGGTCTGGGCTCGTAAAGCAGCCACACGTATGCACGTCGTCATATGAGCAAAATATTCTTAAGTGCGACGTTATACCCCATTTCACCTCACCTCACCATTCACTCTAGGTGAAAAGATCCCCCTTAACGCTGACACACTGGGATGTAAGTAAATCTACATTCCTTCACTTGACTTTATATGCTTTTGACACATGTCCTGTTTCAGAGAGAAGATACAGAACCGCAAGACGAAAGTGAGGTCATACTATTTTGACGCTAACGAGCTGTCTAATTACTGGGGATGTGATGCAGGACCAAGGAGGTGAGTAGCCTGGATGTGTAGCTGTTGGTTGGCCAGTAGCCTGGATGTGTAGCTGTTGGTTGGCCAGTAGCCTGGATGTGTAGCTGTTGGTTGGCCAGTAGGTGGGATGTGTAGCTGTTGGTTGGCCAGTAGCCTGGATGTGTAGCTGTTGGTTGGCCAGTAGGTGGGATGTGTAGCTGTTGGTTGGCCAGTAGTCTGGATGTGTAGCTGTTGGTTGGTTGGCCAGTAGGTGGGATGTGTAGCTGTTGGTTGGCCAGTAGGTTGGGATGTGTAGCTGTTGGTTGGCCAGTAGTTGGGATGTGTAGCTGTTGGTTGGCCAGTAGGTGGGATGTGTAGCTGTTGGTTGGCCAGTAGCCTGGATGTGTAGCTGTTGGTTGGCCAGTAGCTGGGATGTGTAGCTGTTGGTTGGCCAGTAGTTGGGATGTGTAGCTGTTGGTTGGCCAGTAGCCTGGATGTGTAGCTGTTGGTTAGCCAGTAGGTGGGATGTGTAGCTGTTGGTTGGCCAGTAGTTGGGATGTGTAGCTGTTGGTTGGCCAGTAGACTGGATGTGTAGCTGTTGGTTGACCAGCAGACTGGATGTGTAGCTGTTGGTTGGCCAGTAGGTGGGATATGTAGCTGTTGGTTGGCCAGTAGGTGGGATATGTAGCTGTTGGTTGGCCAGTAGGTGGGATATGTAGCTGTTGGTTGGCCAGTAGCCTGATGTGTAGCTGTTGGTTGGCCAGTAGCTGGGATGTAGCTGCTGGTTGGCCAGTAGTTGGGATGTGTAGCTGTTGGTTAGCCAGTAGGTGGGATGTGTAGCTGTTGGTTGGCCAGTAGTTGGGATGTGTAGCTGTTGGTTGGCCAGTAGACTGGATGTGTAGCTGTTGGTTGGCCAGTAGGTGGGATGTGTAGCTGTTGGTTGGACAGTAGCCTGGATGTGTAGCTGTTGGTTGGCCAGTAGGTGGGATATGTAGCTGTTGGTTGGCCAGTAGGTGGATATGTAGCTGTTGGTTGGCCAGTAGGTGGGATATGTAGCTGTTGGTTGGCCAGTAGCCTGGATGTGTAGCTGTTGGTTGGCCAGTAGCTGGGATGTGTAGCTGTTGGTTGGCCAGTAGCCTGGATGTGTAGCTGTTGGTTGGCCAGTAGCCTGGATGTGTAGCTGTTGGTTGGCCAGTAGGTGGGATGTGTAGCTGTTGGTTGGCCAGTAGTTGGGATGTGTAGCTGTTGGTTGGCCAGTAGACTGGATGTGTAGCTGTTGGTTGACCAGTAGACTGGATGTGTAGCTGTTGGTTGGCCAGTAGGTGGGATATGTAGCTGTTGGTTGGCCAGTAGGTGGGATATGTAGCTGTTGGTTGGCCAGTAGGTGGGATATGTAGCTGTTGGTTGGCCAGTAGCCTGGATGTGTAGCTGTTGGTTGGCCAGTAGCTGGGATGTGTAGCTGTTGGTTGGCCAGTAGTTGGGATGTGTAGCTGTTGGTTAGCCAGTAGGTGGGATGTGTAGCTGTTGGTTGGCCAGTAGTTGGGATGTGTAGCTGTTGGTTGGCCAGTAGACTGGATGTGTAGCTGTTGGTTGGCCAGTAGTTGGGATGTGTAGCTGTTGGTTGGCCAGTAGCCTGGATGTGTAGCTGTTGGTTAGCCAGTAGGTGGGATGTGTAGCTGTTGGTTGGCCAGTAGGTGGGATGTGTAGCTGTTGGTTGGCCAGTAGTCTGGTTGTGTAGCTGTTTGTTGGCCTGGGTGCCTATTCTCGAAAGTGTCCCAGCTAAGACAGATCCTAACTAGTTAGGACAGGAGTTAGGACATCCTACCGTTAGGATAAGACCCATTCTCGAAACGATCCTGTCTCCGTCCTAACTTGAGCTACCGATCCTAGCTAGGATAGCGAGCTCTTCAGAAGGTGAGATAGAAGAACATTAATTAAGTTGGGGATTCCCCTAAATATCACTTAGGAAATAAACAGGAGTTACTTCCCCTATCAAGTTGGCCTTGACATTGAAATTTCACGGCAATGTGACAGTAAAGTTGTGATTAAAAAGGCAGAGAATAGGTAAGAGCTGAACAAATCTCTTTTGTAGATCTAAAGAATATGTGCATTGCAACAAGTGTGTATATTCATTACCGATACATTGATAATGTATACACAAATAACTCTTCTTAACTCATCAAAACTGTGTGCTGTTGTAAATTCAAATGTAATTTAGGCGAGTTATTTTGTTTGACAACGTCAAAATTGGTGAACAAACAAGAACCACACCATGTTGACTTCAACTAAGATAGACTTAGGACAAGTCACAACCTATCCTAGTATTCGTCCTAAGTTAGGATATCCTAGCGCTAGGATATTTTTCGAGAATAAGGTAGGACACCTATCCCAGACCCTAGGAGGAAAGTTAGGATATCCTAGGGCTAGGATCCTTTCGAGAATAGGGGCCCTGTAGTCTTGTTGTGTAGCTGTTGGTTGGCCAGTAGATGGGAAGTGTAGCTGTTGGTTGACCAGTAGCCTGGATGTGTAGCTGTTGGTTGACCAGCAGACTGGATGTGTAGCTGTTGGTTGGCCAGTAGATGGGAAGTGTAGCTTTTGGTTGACCAGTAGCCTGGATGTGTAGCTGTTGGTTGACCAGCAGACTGGATGTGTAGCTGTTGGTTGGCCAGTAGCCTGGATGTGTAGCTGTTGGTTGACCAGCAGACTGGATGTGTAGCTGTTGGTTGGCCAGTAGGTGGGATATGTAGCTGTTGGTTGGCCAGTAGACTGGATGTGTAGCTGTTGGTTGGCCAGTAGTTGGATGTGTAGCTGTTGGTTGGCCAGTAGACTGGATGTGTAGCTGTTGGTTGGCCAGTAGATGGGATGTGTAGCTGTTGGTTGGCCAGTAGATGGGATGTGTAGCTGTTGGTTGGCCAGTAGACTGGATGTGTAGCTGTTGGTTGGCCAGTAGACTGGGATGTGTAGCTGTTGGTTGGCCAGTAGAGCCTGGATGGCTGTTGGTTGGCCAGTAGACTGATGTGTAGCTGTTGGTTGGCCAGTAGATGGGATGTGTAGCTGTTGGTTGGCCAGTAGATGGGATGTGTAGCTGTTGGTTGGCCAGTAGATGGGATGTGTAGCTGTTGGTTGGCCAGTAGTTGGGATGTGTAGCTGTTGGTTGGCCAGTAGACTGTGTAGCTGTTGGTTGGCCAGTAGATGGGATGTGTAGCTGTTGGTTGGCCAGTAGATGGGATGTGTAGCTGTTGGTTGGCAGACTGGATGTGTAGTGTTGGGATGTGTAGCTGTTGGTTGGCCAGTAGACCTGATGTGTAGCTGTTGGTTGGCCAGTAGGTGATGATGTAGCTGTTGGTTGGCCAGTAGATGGGATGTGTAGCTGTTGGTTGGCCAGTAGATGGGATGTGTAGCTGTTGGTTGGCCAGTAGTTGGGATGTGTAGCTGTTGGTTGGCCAGTAGTTGGGATGTGTAGCTGTTGGTTGGCCAGTAGACCTGATGTGTAGCTGTTGGTTGGCCAGTAGGTGGGATGTGTAGCTGTTGGTTGGCCAGTAGATGGGATGTGTAGCTGTTGGTTGACCAGTAGTTGGGATGTGTAGCTGTTGGTTGGCCAGTAGTTGGGATGTGTAGCTGTTGGTTGGCCAGTAGACTGAATGTGTAGCTGTTGGTTGGCCAGTAGATGGGATGTGTAGCTGTTGGTTGGCCAGTAGATGGGATGTGTAGCTGTTGGTTGGCCAGTAGATGGATGTGTAGCTGTTGGTTGGCCAGTAGATGGGATGTGTAGCTGTTGGTTGGCCAGTAGCTTGTGGATGATAGCTTTAGTTTGTGTTTAAAGCTGAAGATTACGCTGCTAGTGTTAATGATGAGGAAGGTCATTACCATAATGATTCAGTCGGCCGTGGGGTAGCCTAGTGGTTATTTAAAGTGTTTGCTTGTCACGCTGAAGACCAGGGTTCGATTCCCCACATTGGTACAATGTATGAAGCCCATTTCTGGTGTCCCCCGCCGTGTTATAGTTGGAATATTGCTAAAAATGACGTAACACTAAACTCACTCACTATGTTTCAGATATCACCATACCGGCCCAATCAGCAGCTTCTATGCACTGAGGGAGGGACTTGCACGACTGGCTGAAGAGGTAAGAAGGCTGGGTGTAGTACTTAGGAAGATAGACAAGTATGTTACAAGGGAAGGGGACAACTTCATGATATTTTGGACTTCTCCTCACTCCTGAGTATTCATTTAATTGGATTTTTACAGTAAAAATGTACTAATGACAATCCAAGTATGGGGTTTATTTAAGGAAGTGTTTAGGATTTAAAATACCTTTTGCTTGTCATATTAAAGGCCAGGGTGCACATGAGTATGATGGATAAAACCTATTTTAGTGTCCTGTGGAATTGTTTGAACATTGCCAAAAGCAGCATTAAACCACACTTTCACTTAACTCCCATTCTCATTTTCTACTGTACTTGTGAAGGTCCGTGTTAGAATTGATCTTCAGTAACCCATGCTTGTCGTAAGAGGCGACTAACGGGGTCGGGTGGTCAGGCTCGCTGACTTTGTTGACACATGTCATTCTACTGTATTTACTGCAGTACTAAAGTCTAGCATTGGTAGAGAGGTCCCAGACTGTGAAGTGTGACACCAAATTTGGGGGTCAGTGTAAACAAGTTCCACCAATCAGATCCTAGGACTCTCAATATTACAAGTTTCAGATGAGCAGTAATGACAACAGATATGTGTATATGAACTCCATGGCAGGGTCTGGAGTCGAGCTGGGCACGACACAAGCAGTGTGCAGAGATGCTGCATGATGGTGTAGAGAAGCTGGGTCTGCAGCTGCTGGTGAAGGACAAGGTGAGAACCTAAAGCACAGACTGACTCCACCTGTGTTGGACGTGTTAGGGTTAAATTAATTTATACTGCATTAGATATTCTTTGGTAGACCTCCCATTGTGAGACAGCTCAAAACAATGGGGTGGGTGGGATAGCCTAGTGGTTAAGCCATTTGCTCGTCATGCTGAAAACCCAGGTTTGATTCCCCACATTTGCTCAATGTGTGAAGCCCATTTGTTGTGTCCCTGCCATGATATTGCTGGAATATTACTAAAAGGGGCATAAAAACAAACTCACTCACATAAAACTATGGGATTTATGGCTGAATCACCAGCAACTCAACTGACTTTTACCTCAGGATCATAACTGGACAGTCCAGTTAATGAAAACAGAGAGGCTAGTGATAAAAGTTAAATATTTATTAGTATTTTACCATGTTGTGTGATTTATACACACAAATACATTAGCAGTACATGAAGTCACCCAGTTTACCCAAGTCACCCAGTTTACCCAGGTTACCTAGGTTACTCAGGTTACCAAAGTTATCACTAGTTTACCCAAGTTGTCTAGGCTTCTCGGTTTACCCAAGTAACCAAAGTTACCCAGTTTTATCCAGTTTACCCAGGTTACCCAGTTTACCTAAGTTATATAGGTCACCCAAGTTACCCAAGTTATATAGGTCACCCAAGTTACCCAAGTTATATAGGTCACATAGGTTACCCAAGTTACTGTAAACGTATTATATTTTGCGCAGGTTTTATTTTCGCGCTTTTAGCGAAAAACATTTTAGCGCGAAAATTTATACACCGCGAATAAACCTGTCATTCATTCAGTCGAGCCACCCTCGCCCCTGAGTTGTTACCATAACACATCACGTTTGAAGACAGAAATCAACGTGAATCTTAAAATGACGACTGATCATACTTAACTGTCGCTGTAATGGATTTCCCAAACATAATTAAATAATGAGCCAAATCCCATTGCCTAATTAGCGAAAACAGCAATGTGTGTTGTGGCCGCCATGGAAATTGGTCACATGTCATGGTTTGATACAAAACAGATTACCGTGAAAACGACTTCGGAAAGAAATAATACAGCAGTATTTTATTTATTCATTAAGATTTTATTCACCAGTACATCATGAAGCCAATAGTCACTAACACTCAATCATCTCATTCACAACAACCCGGCTTGTTTGAAATCACAAAGAGCTTCATATACAGTATAAGTTAATTACGATCAAATCGTCAGAATTCGAACATAAGACTGATGTGTTTTCATCTCTTCCGAGTAAGCGGATTACTGTGTACTAGTATATCGCACAGATAGGGATTTCCTGTGAGTAAGCAATAAACGCCGCCTGACAGGTTAAGCCACTCTGTTTGTTTTCACTGCTATTAGTGGCGGCCAAAGAGACAGTTGGCAGTTCCGTCAATTACTGATTGCGCGAATAATTGACCGCTCGATGTAGTCTAAACTGTCAATTCCTCGAAAATTGCACCACGCGAAAATAAGTACGTTTACAGTATATAGGTCACCCAAGTTACCCATTTAATATAGGTCACCCAAGTTATATAGGTCACCGAAGTTACCCAAGTTATATAGGTCACCCAAGTTATATAGGTCTGCCAAGTTATATAGGTAACCCAAGTAATATAGGTCACCCAAGTAATATAGGTCACCCAAGTTATATAGGTCACCCAAGTAATATAGGTCACCCAAGTTACCCAGGTTATCCAAGTAATATAGGTCACCCAAGTTACCTAGGTTACCCAATTTATATAGGTCACCCAAGTTATATAGGTCACCCAAGTAATATGTCACCCAAGTTACCCAAGTTATATAGGTCACCCAAGTAATATAGGTCACCCAAGTAATATAGGTCACCCAAGTTACCCAAGTAATATAGGTCACCCAAGTTACCCAAGTAATATAGGTCTCCCAAGTTACCCAAGTTATATAGGTCACCCAAGTAATATAGGTCACCCAAGTTATATAGGTTACATAGGTTACCCAAGTTATATAGGTCACCCAAGTTACCCATTTAATATAGGTCACCCAAGTTATATAGGTCACCCAAGTAACAAGGTCACCCAAGTTATATAGGTCACCCAAATTACCCAAGTTATATAGGTCACCCAAGTTATATAGGTCACCCAAGGTATATAGGTCACCCAAGTTACCCAAGTTATATAGGTCACCCAAGTTACCCAAGTTATATAGGTCACCCAAGTTACCCAGGTTACCTTATCAGTTTTTACAATACATCCTTGATTAAGGATGTATTAATTGAAAATATGTTCTTGTATAAAATCATGATTCAGTCAGACTACATGCATCTGTGTTTCTAGTTAGCTAAATGTACTGAACCAGGTAGGTAGCTGGTTTTGTCTGGCACAAAAATCTTTTCATGTCAACACATGCCTGGTGCTGAGTTCTATCAAATACCTTGACTCAATCCCTAACATGTACATTCTACTGTCAGAATGTCCGCAACCCGTGTGTGAATGCCATCATGGTTCCCGACGGAGTCAACTGGAAAGATGTGGCAGACTACGCCATGAAAAAGTGAGTATTGTGTTTGGTGTTTGCAATCCTTTAATTTGCCAGTTGGCCATCAGGGCCTGCTGCCCTCGCAGGCCATAAAATCTACAGGCCCTGGATGAAATCTGCAGGCCCATTTTGTTAAAATCAAACCAATAAGAACAAAATAGACTACACTGTACATAGTTTCACACTGTTTCAATTAGCAAAGTCTATGGTGCTGAGAGAAGTTTTGATTTGTTAAAGACTGGTGTTGACTTTCCTACACACAAAGCGCTGAAATACCAGGAAGTGAAACTGTTAAGTATCGTAACATGATGGATCATGGATGTTTCCCGAACGTTAATGAAGAAAAACAATATGGGAAAGATTCCAGTTGAAAAAAACAACATTGACAGATAATTTGCTGAAGGCCACAAGGGCCTGCAAATATTTGAAACTGCTGGCCTGATACAATGACAACCAGCGCTGGGCCTCTGGGCCGGCGATTATTTCGAATGCAGATTGTGTTTGGTGTTGTTGCTGGTTTCCTAGGCTTGTCATAGGAGGCGGCTACATGGTCCGAGAGGTAGTGCTGTGTGTCATCGTACCTCGTCTGTGTGGACTGTGCTCGTAATATCAACCATTAGTTTGTCTGGTTCAGACTCTGTCATCATACAGCTGAAATGTTACTGACTAATTATAATTTACAACATTCAGTAATATTTGAAAAATCCATTTAAAATGGTTCAGTATCATTTCATGTGCTTATTCACAGTTGATAAACCACTCTCTTCTTCAAATCTCGACTCAGATCTTGTTCCTGGGTTACAAAGGTCCTCAGTTATAATAGATATGACATTTCTCAAAGCATGAGTGAGTTGGGTTTAATGTCACTTGGAACAGCAAGGGCGGATCCAGAAACGGGTTGTCAGCGTGCACATCCCCTCCTCTCCCCCGAACAAATTTTCCTTGAGGAGCATTTCCCCCTAACCTTTGAACTTCATGATATTTGTGCACCCCCATTCTCCAAAATCCTGGATCTGCCCCTGAACAGTATTCCAGTTATAGGGGTCGGTGGGGTAGTCTAGTGGTTAAAGCGTTGGCTCGTCACGCCGAAGACCCGGGTTCAAATCCCCACATGGGTACAATGTGTGAAGCTCATTTCTGGTGTCCCCCGCCGTGATGTTGCTGGAATATTGCTAAAAGCTCAGTCAGTCAGTCAGTATTCCAGCTATACCATGGAGTGTTGGCTGATGTTTACCAGTTATACCATGGAGTGTTGGCTGATGTTTACCAGTTATACCATGGAGTGTTGGCTGATGTTTACCTGTTATACCATGGAGTGTTGGCTGATGTTTACCAGTTATACCATGGAGCGTTGGCTGATGTTTACCTGTTATACCATGGAGTGTTGGCTGATGTTTACCTGTTATACCATGGAGTGTTGGCTGATGTTTACCTGTTATACCATGGAGTGTTGGCTGATGTTTACCAGTTATACCATGGAGTGTTGGCTGATGTTTACCAGTTATACCATGGAGCATTGGCTGATGTTTACCTGTTATACCATGGAGTGTTGGCTGATGTTTACCTGTTATACCATGGAGTGTTGGCTGATGTTTACCAGTTATACCATGGAGTGTTGGCTGATGTTTACCAGTTATACCATGGAGTGTTGGCTGATGTTTACCAGTTATACCATGGAGTGTTGGCTGATGTTTACCTGTTATACCATGGAGTGTTGGCTGATGTTTACCTGTTATACCATGGAGTGTTGGCTGATGTTTACCAGTTATACCATGAAGTGTTGGCTGATGTTTACCTGTTATACCATGGAGTGTTGGCTGATGTTTACCAGTTATACCATGGAGTGTTGGCTGATGTTTACCAGTTATACCATGGAGCGTTGGCTGATGTTTACCAGTTATACCATGGAGTGTTGGCTGATGTTTACCTGTCTGATGAAATCCACAATCATGGGTATGGTGCTGTCAAACCTGGAAACAATTGGGGTGGACCAAGATTAGAACCGTAATCAGGTTTATGGCTATCCAAGGGATGCTACTCTGTATAGCAAATTGTGGTGCCATCCATGTCCTCCTTCAAACCATGCCTCATGTCTTATTCTTCAGTTACCGAGTGGAGATCTCCGGGGGTCTCGGCAGCCTGGCGGGGAAGGTGTGGCGAGTTGGCGTTATGGGGTACAACTGTACTCCTGACAACGTACGTCTCGTTCTACGTGCACTGGAGGAGGCGCTGAAACAATGCAGGAAGTAACCCAAGGTCACAACAGTATGACCACAGAAAAACAGAAACAAGTATTTGGGGGCGTGCTCTTTCCTGATTTCATTTTGGTGTATTTAGTCCTTTAACCTTATCCTACACTATACTACACAACATTGGCTAGGGACAGTCCTGTATATCAATACATTAGGGGTGGGTATTGCAGAGAATTTTCATATTGCGATATATTGCGATGCGGAAGCATATATTGCGATATGTATTGCAATATATTGCAAGGATTATTTTTTTAACAAAAACTACTTATAATCGAGTTAATGCTTGATTATAAAGCAAAAACACAACAAAATCACTATGACTGATTAACCTTTTATAAAAACTTTTAATCATGACAAAATAAAAATGTAAGTAACATTTGGCACTGATGAAACAGGCAAAGAACAATTAAAATCCGGAAATATCCGAAGATTTCCGAGTTGACTTTTCGAATGCATGTCAAAATACTAGTTTTTTCAGCGTTTGCAAATCGTTTTCATGTCTGAACGGTAAATGCCAGTAAACTGGTTATATTGTGCAGCCCGGAAAATGTTGTGTTGTGTAGTTCTGCTGAAGGGGTCATTGCAGTGTAGGTGACAAGAGATATGTACTCCAAGTTCCTATCTTTATGCAGAATTGTTCTGTTCGTTTCTGCAGAAATGACCCTCACTATTGTGTGCCAGTAAAGCATGGCACTGATGTCTGAAACCTGGAGATATTTCTGTCGTCCCCTATTTGACAATGGTCCCTTCAGTTCAGGTCGGGGATAATGGGTTTAGATGGGTGGGAATGATGAAAACTTCTCAAACACAACTAATCCTAAGACAGGGAAGTGAGAGCAACGGTTTTAGATTGTAAATGTAAGCTTGATCAGGAGGTCAGTACGGGTGCACTCAGGAATGTGCACTCTTGCCAAATAGACACTGGTGCTGTGTTCCAATTAAGTCAAATGAATTAATTTTCTTCATTAAGTCATAATTTGTTATATGCATCGTCAATTGTTTGAATTGTTCCTATTCTTTGGGAAAACCAGCATTCAGATTTGTAGGAAAGCTTTAAGTAAGGGAGACAACTCTAGTCAACATTTTGTGCCAGGTATGAAAGTTATTGTTCCAAAACATGCAAATGTAATAATGAGGCGATCTGTTTGTTAATAAACTGATATATTTTTATTTGTATCTTTACCAGATTGATTGACATACACTTTTTAGTCAGTTATGTGAAATGGCTGTGAAACAATATTCAGTATTGTAAAAATTCAGCAGTCAAATTTTGTTTTTGACAATTTAGCAAAACATCCGTATTTATCAAATCTGAAGTTTAACAATATCGGTCACATGCCAAAGAGAACATTTACACAGAGAAACCAAACAAAGTAAAATGTCTTCTGATCAATCTCCTTCAGTTCATGGTGCTTCTTAAGGGTTGTGCAGCAAGTAGGATTTGGATGTGTACAGGATTGACAGACTATAGCAGAGTTGTGTCCAGCCATTGACTACCAGCACACAACAATTTTTTTCGGCCAAATGACTTCATTACTCATTGAGACTGCATTGAACATGTGTTTTTCTGGTTTATGGACCACCCACATTGAATGAAACATATTGTAGCCAACCAGTGTGAAGTACAGGCAACTGCTCATTAAAAACTGTTAGCGTCATGGGCGGATCCAGGAATTTTGAAGAGGGGGTGGGGTGTGTGGGTGTGGTGGTGTTTCAGGGTTAGGGGGGGACCCCCTGAAACACCACCCAACCCATCCCCACCCACCCCTCTCCCCTTGTATCCGCCAATGAGCGTAACCAAACAAGCCTGTGATGATGTGGAACTGCTCAAAGGTCAGATATATGAAAAGAGATTTAGTTGGGCTTTTTAGAGTTTGCAGTTGTTATGGCTTTGATAACACATATCAATAACATATCTCGCTCAAATTCATGTTTGGTATTGGGCTTGTCTGTTTTCTTCTTGCCTGTTTTCCTTTCAACACACAAACAGTGCATGACGCGTGATACCATGGGTCGGTGCAGGTTGTGTTTGGGGGAAGATTTTGAGACATTCTTTGGCTTATCCAGTAGTGGTGGTCCAATTAATTGAAATAATCGAAAATTGGTCGTAGTGACTAAACGACCAAGCAATGGATCATAATTTCTCATAATCGAACACAAACAATTCTGGAACACTTGTTTTCGTTAACAATATTTTTCACATGGTTGATTGTGTCTGTTACATTTCGTAAGCACTACAAGCTCGTTTCAAGTCACGATTGAATTTATCTTAAAGATTACAAGAAATTTATGTTCCTAACATACTAGTCATCCTTTAAAGATATGAAATTTTGCCAAAAACACCCCAAAGAACTACATGTTTTGTTTCCATATTTTTATATGCATTAACAAATTTCATAAATGATGCTAACCAATTATTTTCGATGATTGATCGGTAGTAATGAACCAATCATCAATTATGAGATTTTAACCAATTCCCAACACTATTATCCAGTCATGGCACCATGTTAGACTAAACGAAAAGTCTGGAAACAAATACTCTTGTTGTTGGCTATCTGATTCTGGAACCTATTGTTTGGGTGATTTAAATTATGGGCTTATCTTTCACATGTTCTCTACCAATACAAAACCCCATTCCTGGTGTCAACTCTGTGAAATGGCTAGAACATTAATTAAATTGGCATAAAACTTACCAATACAACCTCAATCACTTATCCAGATCCATTCGTTGCCAAGCTGCCTGGGTATACCTGGAGTATATAATATGTGGTGGTTACGCTAGTATGAGGTGTCACATTTATACAGTTATACAATGGCTAATGTTTGGAATATATTGTGCAGGTACTTTAATGTCTGTGTATTTAGATATTGTTGATTAATATGATTTATTATATGAGCTATGTTGAATTTAATGTTATTTTTACAATAAAGGGTAATTATCATAGCTTGCTATAGTTGTTGTTTTTGCCTGTAAAGGTCGTTTGTTGAAAGACAAAGTGTATCATTCAATAAATATCCACCCCAACACGGGGTTGGGTAGCCTAGTAGTTATAATGTTTGCTTCATGCAGAAGACCTGGGTTCGATTCCCAACATGGGTACTGAGTATGAAGCCCATTTCTGGTGTCTCCTGTCGTGATATTGCTGGAATATTGCTAAAGGCGGCGTAAAAATAAACTCACTCACCCCAACACCAATCGCTAATTATATTCCTTGATGTTGCAGCCTGGTTCCTTGATATTACTGCTCTATTACGTCCCCTCGTTCACTATGAATGAACACGTGTGTTTGGATGGAGGATCTACCTGCACCTGCACACAGATGATCAGATATATGTGCACATATATGTGTCTCAAAGGGTTATTATCCACTGCCACCCGTTTAGCGTGAAGCGGGGATATAGTATTGGGCTCTGTCAGTCAGTCCGTCCGTCCGTCCATCCGTCCGTACGTACGTCAGGTTTGTTGACCTTGACCTTTATTTCAAGGTCACAAGGGGACTTTAACGTATACCCTTAACAAGGAGATATCTCAAGAACCATTTACTGGATTGTCTTCATATTCGACACAGGCTACATCTAGGGAAGGCCAGGGCCCAGTCGATTTTAGTGACCTTCACGTAATTTTCAAGGTTACTTTGAAGATTTCATCATGTTAACGTGCATGTTAAACTTGTCAGCAAGATACCTCAAGAATGGTTCACTGGATTTTCTTCTTATTTGACACAACGCTTCATCTAGGGAAGGCGCAGGGCGCTGTCGATGTTGGTGACCTTCACGTAATGTTCAAGGTCACAGCGACACTGAAGATTTCAGTTTGTTAACCTGCATGTTAAGATTGTCAGCAAGATACCTCAAGACTGGTTTACTGGATTTTCTTCATAGACTTTCAAGACTTCTCTTGAATGTTTTTTTTATAAACAATTTCTTTATTACTATTTTTGCATATTCCATACACCATGACATCCATGTCAAGGTCAAAGTGAATCTTGAAAATATTGACCCGTGAAGATCCGGGGGTGAAGATCCGGGGTAGAATAGGTCTTCAGCAACCCATGCTTGCCACAAAAGGTGACAATGCTTGTTGTAAGAGGCGACTAACGGGATCGGGTGGTCAGGCTCGCTGACTTGGTTGACACATGTCATCGGTTCCCAATTGCGCAGATTGATGCTCATGCTGTTGATCACTGGATTGTCTGGTCCAGACTCAATTATTTACAGACCACCGCCATATAGCTGGAATATTGATGAGTGCAGCGTAAAACTAAACTCACTCACTCACTTGAAAATATTTGTGTGAACAGCTCCAGAGCAAAATATCAAGGGAGCTTCACCGTTGACTGGTCATGTTTTTGATTGACATTTAACTTCATCTTAAACTACGACCTTCACTTTAATTACCTTTTGACTGGTCATGTTTTTGATTGACATTTAACTTCATCTTAAACTACGACCTTCACTTTAATTACCTTTTAGGTTTGATTTGATAATTTGCGGCAGGGGGTTATGTCATCTTAGTAACAACTGCTAGTTCTAAAGTCACCACTTACCAACAGGAAATTCACCTTTGATCAGCTTATTGCAGAGAATAAAGGTTTGTCTGCAGTATGGGCGAAATGTTTGAATCTGCTGTCATTACACACTATAAATACATGTATACTGGGCTAAACAAATAAGGGATTCTTGTATGTGAAAATTTGCTACGGTTGATGGAGTGGCCAAGCGGTTAAGGTGTTCTACGGTCTCGCCAAATATCAGGGTTTGACTTTACCACACAACAAAATCATCTTGTAATTAAGGCGTTCGCTTGTCACGCCTAAGACCTGGGTTTAATTCCCCACATGGGTGCAATGTGTGAAGCCCATGTCTGGTGTCGCCCGCTTTGATATTGCTGGAATATTGCTAAAAGCGGCGTAAAACTACTCACTCACTCGTATTTTGATTCGTCCGTCGGAAAGTAGCTGTAATAAATAGTGTCGCGAAACTCTCTTGCTGAATAATACAGTATTTGAAGGCGCGCCATTCCTCAACATTACTAGCCATGACACTACTATTCGGAACTCATTCGACTGTCTGGTCTGGTTGAGAAATGCAGACCAGAAAACAACGAGAAGTCGTATCAAGTATCAAACATTTCTGTTTCTGTAACAGAACATGTCTTCTCTATCCCAAGACTCGTCGATGCTTCAACACTCCATTCAATACCCGTCACTGCAGGCCCGTAGCGCCGATTTCAGAAGTGAGGGGGCCCCGAGTTTGCATTTTGGTAGC